TTTAACATGGTAACTATTCCAGTATGTCATGTTTTGTCAGATTATAGTAACCAGAAGAACCCACCTATGTTTAACATGGTAACTATTCCAGTATGTCATGTTTTGTCAGATTATAGTAACCAGAAGAACCCACCCTTTGACAATACATGAGTTGAAGATATGTATCTGTGGTTGGACTTTGTTGATTTTAGAACGTTTTTGGTTGGGCTATGACAATACACTAAGTTGAAGATATGTATCTCTCTAGGTGTTCTTTGTTTGGCTAGGCTACAATGATTTCATGATAGTTACTGTAAATGATGTTTATTTAAGCAGTGGCTACAACAAAAATGTATTTTTTTTACATACTTTTTCTATATAGTATGTTAGAGGATGAACTGTTTTTAACTTCTTTTTTTTAATCCAGCCATCATCTGGTTCAGAAGCAGAGTCCGATCATAAATCCAGTCGGAGAAGGAAAAAAAGTCATAGCCGTAGCAGAAGTCGTAGCAGAAGCCACAGTCCAACCAGAGAAGAAGGCGAAGTAGATGATAAGAAAGTGTGTTAACTTCTCACTTAGTTAGATTTTCTTAAATTTCCTCTTTCATATGCTTTAAGAATAAATCTATAATTATCCTACTTTCTATAATTTTTTTGAGATTAATGTAAACTTGATGTTACAGGGCTGGGATAGTTCAGAAAGTGACCTGAGTGAAGGTGAACTGGAGAAGAAGAGAAGAAAGTTATTACAAGAACTGGCAGCACATTCATAAATGTATAAACTCGTACATTACTATGATCCTCTTGCAAGCCTGACTTCTAAAAAACAATTGCTACAGCATTAAAAACAAATTCTCCAAGTCAATATGCTTAGTGAAAAGTGAAGTCTGGATTTGAAAGCAGTACTTTTTCATGTCATAATAAAAACCGTTTTGACACTTGTTTTCATCGTGACTGGAAATGTTTTCATTTTGGTAATACATCATGATGCAGAAACCCAACTGTGACGTTTCTACGATGATGTTATAGTAAGCAGGTTGGGAAAGTTTTAAATGTTTACTCTTCCTTACGAAGATTTTCTGTTGACATCAAAAATATAAGCATTAAAAAAGAATGCATTATAAAAACTTCCAAACAAATATATAATTTTAATCACTGAAAGAAGTATGAGGATTATATCCACTTTTGAGTTTTATCATCATTTAACTAATGTTAGTTAGTGAGTTCTTTGTGTGCCAGTAATGTCACATAGAGAGTAAACTACTAGGATTTAATATCAATGTTAAAGTTGTATGAAGGTAAACAATTCTGTGTTTGTTTTGATAGTGAGAGAGAATTTATGGGCCTACATCTATTGCTGGCACACTGTTTACGACATTACATTAAAGCCCTAAAAAGAGTGTTGTCCATTTATTTTTAGAATCACCATAAAAATCAGTTTCTGGATTACCATCAAATCAGAATCTTAATTTATGATTATAGATACAAATCTTCAATACCAGCAACAATTCAATTATAATGAGCTTCCGTTTCAGAATTACAACGTTAACGTTGTTATTAGATGTACATTACTTCAAGAGTGGAGGTTCATATCTTTACTAAACTATAATAATAGGATCCAGTATTAAATCTCTAAACCTTTAATAGCTGGTAAGTGTAACTTTACATTAAACAACACATCAATGACAATCTACTGTTAAATACGAAGTTCAGTAACAAGTATAGTTACCATGTTAAACATATCCAACCATAAACGTTCTAAGATCAACAAAGACCAACCACAGATACATATCTTCAACTTAGTGTATTGTCATAGTCCAACCAACCAAAATATTCTAAAATCACCAAAGATACATATCTTCAACTCGTGTATTGTCATAGCCCAACCAACCAAAACGTTCTAAAATCAACAAAGACCAACCACAGATACATATCTTCAACTTAGTGTATTGTCATAGTCCAACCAACCAAAACGTTGTAAAATCAACAAAGACCAACCACAGATAAATATCTTCAACTCATGTATTGTCAAAGCCCAACCAAAAACGTTCTAAAATCAACAAAGACCAACCAATGAGATATATATCTTCAACTTATTGAACTGTATTACCATAGCTAAAAATTACACACTGTACTGACGAAAACAGTAATGACAAAACTACACACACTGTACTGAAGACAACAGTAACGACAAAACTTCACACAGTGTACTGAAGACAACAGTAACGACAAAACTACACAGTGTACTGAAGATAACAGTAACGATAAAACTACACACACTGTACTTAAGACAACCGTAACGACAAAACTACACACAGTGTACTTAAGACCACAGTAATGACAAAACTACACACAGTGTACTTAAGACCACAGTAATGACAAAACTACACACAGTGTACTGAAGACAACAGTAACGACAAAACTACACAGTGTACTGAAGACAACAGTAATGAGAAAACTACACACACTGTACTGAAGACAACAGTAACGACAAAGCTACACAGTGTACTTAAGATAACAGTAACGACAAAACTACACAGTGTACTGAAGATAACAGTAACGATAAAACTACACAGTGTACTGAAGACACAGTAACAACAAAACTACACAGTGTACTTAAGATAACAGTAACGACAAAACTACACACACTGTACTTAAGACAACAGTAATGACAAAACTACACACAGTGTACTGAAGACAACAGTAATGACAAAACTACACACAGTGTACTGAAGACCACAGTAACAACAAAACTACACACACTGTACTGAAGACCACAGTAACGACAAAACTACACAGTGTACTGAAGACAACAGTAATGAGAAAACTACACACACTGTACTTAAGACAACAGTAACGACAAAGCTACACAGTGTACTTAAGATAACAGTAACGACAAAACTACACACAGTGTACTTAAGACAACAGTAATGACGTTAGAACACTGTTTAAATACCATAAAGAAAATTGTTTTTTTTTACTTTTTTTCAGATGACTATTACTCCAAAAAACACAAGAAAAAGGCAAAGAAAAAGAAACATGCATATCACTCAGTAAGTTAATTAACTTTTAGAATATCTTTGTTTCATCAGTAGGACAAAGGAGGATTTTTAATTTTGTTGTTCATATTTCATCACTCCTGTTGATAGTTTTTATATTATTGATTTTAAATGGAAGTTTATGGTATTTAAAC